AGGCCCAGATACAGTAACTTATGAATGTTAGTCAAAATTATGTGTGAGAGATAGGCCCAGATACAGTAACTTACAGATTTAACACTAATGTTAGTCAAAATTATGTGTGAGAGATAGGCCCAGATAATGTTACAGTCAAAATTATGTGTGAGAGATAGGCCCAGATACAGTAACTTACAGATTTAACACTAATGTTAGTCAAAATTATGTGTGAGAGATAGGCCCAGATACAGTAACTTACAGATTTAACACTAATGTTAGTCAAAATTATGTGTGAGAGATAGGCCCAGATACAGTAACTTACAGATTTAACATGAATGTTAGTCAAAATTATGTGTGAGAGATAGGCCCAGATACAGTAACTTACAGATTTAACATGAATGTTTGTCAAAATTATGTGTGAGAGATAGGCCCAGATACAGAAACTTAAGATTTAACATGAATGTTGTCAAAATTATGTGTGAGAGATAGGCCCAGATACAAAATTAATGTTGTCAAAATTATGTGTGAGAGAGGCCCAGATACAGTAACTTACAGATTTAACACTAAGGCCCAGATACAGTAACTTACAGATTTAACACTAATGTTAGTCAAAATTATGTGTGAGAGATAGGCCCAGATACAGTAACTTACAGATTTAACATGAATGTTAGTCAAAATTATGTGTGAGAGATAGGCCCAGATACAGAAACTTATAGATTTAACATGAATGTTAGTCAAAATTATGTGTGAGAGATAGGCCCAGATACAGTAACTTACAGATTTAACACAAATGTTAGTCAAAATTATGTGTGAGAGATAGGTCCAGATACAGAAACTTATAGATTTAACACTAATGTTAGTCAAAATTATGTGTCAGAGATAGGTCCAGATACAGAAACTTGTAGACAGAGACAGGTTTTCAAGGCCATGTTGTTTACTACAGAGTATATATTGGTCTGACATTACATAATTGTTGCTTTATAATAACATGTTATTGTATCATGACACGGAACACTTCTGTTGAAGTACTGACCCTTATCTGGGACAATCCAAATTCACACAGACCTTGTTTTGTTCAATTTCAGACACCAAATAACAAAATAGATATTAATTATATTCCTTTCTGTAGTTAAAACATTCTTTCATTGTGCAAGTCAATAGATAGTATGTATCCCTTTATTTATCCTTGCAATCTTGTCCTTGCAATCAACTCAGCAGGAGAAAATTTTCCTCATTCTATATAGCATTAGTAAATGATATTGATGTCTCGGGTTCCATCCATTGAGAGCTCGGAGACACATGTGATAATGATCTATATAGTAACATTGCTATCCAAAAAAGGACATGGAAAACTTTGGCAAAATTTTGAGAAATACTTTTGTCCCGAGATCCACAGGACAATCTTATTCCTAGAGCTGGAACATTTCAGCACTGTAAAATATTCCTGCTGACACAGAGCTAATTTCTTTATATTTGTTGATATCAGTGGATATCAAAAACATTAATGACCTCTAAAACTTTCCGAAGATTTTTCGTTTCACAACAATTACCTTGTAATAAGTAGTGCCCCAACTCTCCCAAATTCACTCTATTTCCTTAATAGGGCCCCAACTCTCCCGAATTCACTCAATTTCCTTTATAGGGCCCCAACTCTCCCAAATTCATTCTATTCCCTTTATATGGCCCCGAATTCACTCTATTTCCTTTATAGGGCCCCAACCCTCCCAAATTCACTCTATTTCCTTTGTAGGGGCCCCAACCTTCCTAAATTCACTCTATATCCTTTATAGGGCCCCAACCCCCCCACCCAACCTTCCCAAATTAACTCCATATCCTTTAGAGGGCCCTAACTCTCCACCCAACCTTCCCAAATTCACTCGATATCCTTTATAGGGCCCCAACCCCCCACCTTACCTTCCCAAATTCACTCCATATCCTTTAGAAGGCCCTAACTCTCCACCCAACCTTCCCAAATTCACTCTATATCCTTTATAGGGCCCCTACCCTCCCACCCCAGGAGGCCAAGACCCATTGTTTATATGAACATCGTTTAAACTGGTTTCCCTTCACCCAAGAATGCTTCAGACCAAATATTGACAAAATAATCCAATAATGTCTGCTGGTGGAATTGGATTTTATAGAGTTAGTTATATTTTCACTATTAGGCCCTGCCCTTCCAGCCCAAGGGGACCTCGGTCTACTGTTTGAAGACAGTTAATTCCCCTTAACCAAAGTACCACTAGCTCCAGGATAGGAACCAAGTACCATGTACAAGCTCCTAGAGTCTAGGTCCCCTCTAGCCCAAGGGCACCTAGACCTACTGTTTAAAGACAATTGATTTCCCCTTAACCAAAGAATGCTTCACACCAAATTTTAGACAAAATCCAATTACTCTTAAAAGAGGAGTAGAAGTTTGAAGAATTTGCTCTATTTTCCCTATTGGGCCCTGCCCCTCTCAACCCTGGTGGCAAAGGCCCAACATTAATTCCAAACTGATTCCTCTTCACTTAAGAATGCTTCAAACCAAAGTTGGGCAAATTCCAATCATTCCTATAGCAAAAGTTGGATTAAGAGAATTTGTTCAAGATCCCCTTTTTGGCCCTGCCCTTCCTGTCCCAGGGGAACAAGACCTATCTTTATACTAAATTGATTTCCATTTGCCAAAGAATGCTTCACATCAAATTTGGGCAAAATCCATCCGTCCTTCTTGGGGAGGATTTCAAAGAATGTGTTCTATTCCTTTCTGATGATGGTGTAATGATGAGTTGGGATTAGAATGGCTACAAATTGATATTATTGTAATGTTATATAATGACACACCAGTAATGACAGAACACTAGTTTATGACCTACATCACTTGACAGATGTTGACACACTCTGTCTATTGTAATTTCATACACAAGTACAGGTCACTATGAGTACAAATGACAACAATACCACACTAGTACAACTTCCTAAATCAATGTCAAAACATTTGTTAATTTGATTAACAATGATTGAAGCATTACACAGACATGATGGCTATAGACTATGTTTATAACTTTATATTTACACCTAACAACCTTCCAATTCTGAAATTTTGTGTTCTATTAAGTTAGGTTAAGTTAATAATGGACGCAGGCAAAACAATGCCTCTATGTCCATATCTAAATTTGATTTACAATGGAATTGATATATCATACAATGAAGGAGGAAATATATCGTTACATAGTGACTTAGCAATTTATGGTTTTGAGAGATCAAATTATTGTTCATCATGAAAGATTGAGATATAGGTCTATTTATATTTCAGTGCTTAATATGGCATAACTTTCCTGGCTAAAACACCCCCTCCCTAGAAAATTGTATGCCCAAGGGCATTTATTAGAATAAATACAGTACAATGTGCCTGTGTATAACACATTCCTAAGTGGACAGAGCGGGACATGGTATGGTTGTTCTCAGCTTGCGAGTACAGATGTACAAAATTATCCATTACTACTTACACTAAGTGACAATAACTTGTCAAAAATCATAAGGATTTTCAACAAAATCAGTCAACTGTGACAAAGATAAATATGGCAGCCAGGACTTTGCTGGGTCAGTCAAGGATATATATTTATATACTGTACACACTGTTTCTGTGCAGTGCATGCTTTGGCTGTTGTGTATTTTACTGGTCGGTGATCAGTGATATTTTGAAGTATCCTGAATATAGGACGTTGAAACACTACAAACTTCAGTGGGAATATCAGCCCAAAACTCTAATTCTCTTCCTTGTAATTGTGTACATCTTGACATGTTTCCTCGTCTGTTCCCTGTATGTTATTATAGCGGTAAGTAAGAGCTTCCCCTAAAAGGTCAACACAAAATCGGCATGTTTATCCACATCTTTTGACTGATGGCAACATGATACATGTTCAACGAAGATTGTCACAAATAATACATATAAGAAGGAAACATAGTAAGAAAACAAAAGGGCACCAAAACACCAATATATTTACCAGAGAACAAGAGTGATACTTGTGCAACAGGTTTTGAAAACCCAATTTTGGATTTGGATATAATCATACAGCCAAATGAAGCATGTAATATCTGTTATAGGTGTCTAAGTATAAAGGTCTTGCACAAATTGTTTATACACATACATGAAACACAAATAGTGAGGTCACCTCAAAAATTGTTCAACTGTGACTTGTACAACACATGTACGCATAAAACGTATCACACTGAAACCATAAACATGGTAAATCCTACAGGTTTAATACAACGGTCAAGAAAACGAGTAATCATTCTATACTCAATGTTAGCAAGTACTGTGATTTTTGGTTGTTGGTTTTGTCACCGTAAGTATCTAGTCATCCAGGAAATACTTACAGACCCATACAAGAGGAAAGCCTTTTACCAGACTGGTCAAACACATCCAATACTTCTGGCAATGTTGGTCACCAGTGCTTACCTCACTGTGTGTGCTCTTGAAGGGTCTCTCTATGTAGTTTTATTGGTAGGTATACTAAATACTTATGTTTACTAAATATACAAGATATTTGTTAAGTCTATAGTTTTATCAAAAGATGGTTTTGGGGTTGGGGTCTGCAGTTGTATTCCATGAAGTTTATTGGTATGTAGTGTTATGGCTAATTATCTGCCCTTGAAGGGTAGCTCTATGTAGTTTCATTGCTTTGTAAATTTTAGGTTATTTATCTGCCTTAATATAGGGTAGTTTTGTGTACTTTCACTGGTTGGTGTCATCGGATGACCACGGTTTTAACAATTACTTTAAATGGACGACCAGGATTAAACATGAAAACATTATTAAAAGACATGGGGTTTAAGAAGTACACCATTATGTTGGGGTCTTAAGTTTTAATGGGTATATCATATTGTATTCCTTGATTTGATGAGTATATATTACATAGGTCTGTGTATTCATAGAACAATTGGTTTTTTTTTATTTATTGGTTAAAGTTTGTCCTTTTAAGAATTATTCATGTGCATTAATTTGCCTTGTTTACATTATCTTTTTCTTTCTTTTATAACAGCCATTATTCATCAGATGCTGGAGCCAAGTGAGAAGATATTGTCCAATCAAAATAAAGAGAAGAACTTTCTGCTTCTGCAACATTGCACGAAGAAAATTGTTCAAGATTCTTAAGTCAATACATGACACTCAAAGCAAATGGCAGCCACTCACAGCTGAAAACCTTGACCAACAGACAAAGACATGCATCATGCTTATAAAGAATGAAGCTTGTGCAACAATGAATTGCAGCCAGTTGGAGTATGCTTTGGTAGGTAGCTCTGCTGAGGGTCTGGGAAAGTCATATGTACTAGATCTCAAGAACAGTTACCGAGATCAATGGTGTCGTTTTCTGTTACGGTTCTTCTGTTGCTGCCTTCCATGTAATACTTCATTCTCATGCCTACATACAGACATAGATATCATTGTGAAATACAATAACAAACAATTGAAACCTGAAGGAAATTCAGTAGAACGATTGAGATTTCAGAGTAAAAGGCTTTCAACAGATACTTTCTCCAGTCTGTTTAACCTTGAGGAAAATGTTAATGCCCCTGGGTTTGCTAAAATTGTCCTGAATACAAAAATTTCAAGAACACTTGCTGCTCCATGGATGACGTTCTGTGTTTCTTCTGATAGGACTTATCTTTCATCATCTATGATCAGAAAAGCAGTGTTTGACTCAGTGAACTCTGTAGATGAAAAAAATCTACCTGCTTCACGCATATTTGGACCTTTTAAACATCCTCCCTACATACAACTGGAAACAAAAGGCCCAGCAGTAAAACTGACTCTGTCCCCAATAGGGCAAGCATGGTACTGGAACGAAAATCAAAAATTTGTTATCTTTGAGGCCGATCTTGTCTTTGGAATTCATTGTCATCAAAAATGGCCACAATGTGCACAGAACTGGTGTAATAGACAGCGTCTCTGGCCTTCTGCTGCAGATGTTGAATACCTATCGAAAAGTGGATATGTGCTGGTTGCAAAGTCACCCAAAACATCACAAGAGAATGACCTTGAATGGCTGGTGTCTTTCCCCCACTGCGAGACCTACCTTGGTCAACATGTACCACAAGTAGCAAAAGCTTGTTATCTTGCCTTGAAAATTATCCTTAAAGACCATCTTATGTACGTTTGTAAGTGCCTCAAAACATACCAGCTTAAATCTGTGCTCTTCTGGGAACTGGAAAAACATCCAGTGGAATTCTGGGAAATGGACAACATTGAAGAATGTTTTCTGTGTTTGTTTGACTCTTTTCAAGATTGTGTAAAGAGAAAAAACTGTCCTAGTTATTGGATAGAGAACCATAATTTGTTACATGACTGTGATGATCATGAGATAACAGAACTCTTGTTTGTCCTTAAAAGGATCAGATCAAATCCTGCACCATATATTGAAGATGTTGGCAGCATGTGGTGTTAACATTTTTACATGTCCTAGATATGATGAAATAACTTATCAATCCATACTCAGATGTCAATGTTTAGTTGTCATCTTTCAAGTGAATAAAAAATCAACCATGAAGGCCACTCCTTCTCACAATGTTTTGGCAACAAAAGTCCAAACTTTCACTTCTGATGACTCATTTTTGATTCCTTTTAAAAAGCGAGTTGTAGACCGTGGGATGAAAAATCAGCTTTATTTAAATAGACTGGATGATAAGAAATAAGTTTACCAGGATATATGGCTCATTTGAGTAAGAAAGGATCAAATGATGAAAACTAGAGTCTAACCCTTCAGAAAAGGTGTATACATTACATAAAACATAGCCACCGCTCTCCCATCATGACTTTGATTTTTCTCGTTCAAATGATGATTTCATGTAATACATACATGTGTATTTCCAGCCAACACTAAGTTAACTCAAGCGTCTCCGTGATTTAGTGATGTCATCAGAAACGGAAGTTTAGTTACATGTCCGATACACATGTCGCTAATTTCAGCTGTGCGAATTTTAGGTCGTATATTTGAATATTTTTTTTAGTAATATACTGGTCTTTCATCGGACAATTTTTGAATAAATCTTATTGTATTAACAAATTTCAAGTTAATTATGTATTTGTTTGATGGCAGTTCATGGACATTGCGTAGCTAGCGCAAAATGATTCTTAAGAAGTCCGAAACTAATGCACCAATGATATAATAAGGAGTCAAAATATGATAAAGGACCGATTGCAGAATGCGATTGGGCAGCATGGACAATAATATGGCGTGGTATTAGATAGGGTACGTAGATCCGAGAGGGACAGGTTTTCTAGCAAGACGTGAAGAACACATACATCACCATGTGTGGTAAAGGTTTTTACTTACCATGCTGCAGATGTGATCGGTCCAAGAAGACACAAGTTTTTCCCGCCAAAATATCCCAGAGTGCATTGCGGCACCCTGCAAATCGGTTGCATTGATACTATGCTTTAATTAGACCAGACTGATGCATCTTCTAATTATCACGAGATCTAGAAGAATAATCTACCAGAATTTTACTTCTCTTTTTCTAGATAACTATTTTGAGAAAGACCGTGCGTTGAGCAAAGTCTTAATTTAATACAACAGGCGGACAGGCTATGACTTACATGTTAACATCAATATCACTCTGAACTAAACACACATTGACAAAAGCACCTGAAATTCGTTGGGAGAACATGTCAATCATGATAATGAGATTTACTTATAAAATAGTTTCATCATGGCTGAAAGCCACTCGAAAAGAATAATTTTCAAATATATCTGATTCAAATGTGTTTAAATTTCACGGGGGTCCCTTTTCCCGTGCACGTTGAGAACAATAAACATTGCATTGAAATGAATGAATAAATAATTAGTATGGATGCCTATTCTAAAACAGCGTCGCTCAACCCGGATCCTCCGTAACTCTTTGAACATTTGAAAATAATTATATTCATTTTAAAATAAATTACAGCTTATTTGGAATGCTCTTCTTGTCAGCGTATATGTATGATATCCCTGAAGAAATGGCACAATGTAATTCATTGGGTATTGGCTGTAAGTCTTCAGAAAGAGTTAGACATTTCATTTTAATATTTTGTCTTGTCTGACTTTCTCGCTTGACATATATTGCTTCTGAATAAATTTTATTTGTTAATGGAATCAGTTAACATAAATGTAATTTCTCAACCTCATCTCTGTAAACATGCCGTTCCTTCCTGGTCACGATAAATCACAGATGCTTGAGTCAGATGTTTAATTTCAAAGGCACAAAAGATAGCCAAAGGTTTTGCGCTTAATCATTGATATGCAAGGTTATTCAATGCATGCACACTCGTTACAGGTTAAACTCTAGTTTTATTTCCGATACTTTTCTCTTTATCTTTTAGTTATATTAAAAGTATTTTTTCTCTTCATGTTGTAATGATTTCAGAAATACAATTAATTTATTCATTCATGTTTAGTGCTTACAGAAGTCAAACTTAATTATTCAGTATTTTTCATCAAATATAATTGATAATTTTAGTTAATATCTCAATCATATGACATTAGGTTGTGAGAAACACCTTTAAACATCACATTGTCACGAACGTGTAGTAGAGAGTACATATAACAATTTTTATTCAGGGTTAATATTTTTGTTTTGTTTATTAAGAATATTGTGTTAGTAGTTGACCACGCATTAGTCATTAAAACTTCTAGGTGACTCAGTTGATAAAACAAATGACAGATGACATCCGTTTGGTATCAGTGACGTATTAAAATCCCCTCTTGATAAATGATAAATTTCTGCTAACAGAACTCCACTGGGGTTTTCACGATAAATCTGACAAACAATGACCACCCAGAAGAAATTACGAACGTGTTATTTTATAGATAGTTTAAGGACGTAATAAGTACCCAAACGTAAGTAAAGACACACATACTCCACTTTTTGACACAACAGATTTTATGGACAACGCCTATTTCTGCTTTCAAAAATTAAGACACTTGTCCAGTTTTGTATAAAGCGATAAAATTATGCATGATCCGAGTGACAATATCGTCTTCGTATCTTAATCAAATAACATAAGAACATATGATGTACTGTAATTCAACATTCCCCGTGACAACATACACCCAAACACAGACTGACTGTGTGCGTAACTAACTTCCTTATAAGGAAACAGACGTAACATTCTTTCCGTGTGACCCCTGACCCCTGACCGAATTACTGAATGGGTCATTAAACTCTGTGTAGACTTTCGTGTCAGTCAATTAAGTCACGGTTACGTTGACACATTCCATCAATCAAAAATACACATTCGTGCACTGCTGACATACTCACTAATCCGGAAATCATGTCTTATAAATATTACTTACTTTTAACTTATATACTAGCAGAGACAACGTGATATATACGTTTCTGATACCAGGGACGTTAAACCAGAATAACTATCATTATTACACATCTCTTCATATGTCAATACACAAACGTCATCTTCAACTTTATTCTACAACAATTTTGAAACAAGATTCAATACATTAGAACAAATAGGTGAAATATATGGTTAATTAATGAAGATAATTGAGTAATTACAACCTGTGACTTACATGAAGATGTTTTTTGGATAACCTCGATCAACTTTACTGATATATATAGATCGGCACAAAACAATTGTAGTTTGTTATAAAATCAACAAACTCATTCCAGTATTGAAAACAGTGTCTGAATTTATAATCTGTAACACTGATATAAAATTTATAAAACTTATATTTGAGTGAATTTTACAAATACTTTGTAATCTTGGAATCAATTTAGGCCGTTTGATTCTGGGAAACTACAGGTGTGTATATGGTTGAAGGGAAGTAACTCGTGTAATTAATAGGAACTTTTCCTAGTGCAACTTGATCAAATTCAATGCCACATCAACAAGGAGAAACATGACTAAATTGACCTCAAAATCATACCTATGTAGTTCAGATATTTGTCTCCGAGAGCCACGATGTAGAATCACACCTAAGTAGTTCTAATACAGGTCTCCGAGAGTCAGGATGTAGAATCACACCTAAGTAGTTCTAATACAGGTCTCCGAGAGTCAGGATGTTGAATTACACATAAGTAGTTCTAATACAGGTTTCCGAGAGTCAGGATGTTGAATCATGCCCATGTAGTTCAGATATAAGTCTCTTGAGAGCTTCAATGTAGAATCATACCTAATCTAGTTTAGAAAAAGGTCTCCGAGAGCCTTGATGTAGAATCATACCTATGTAGTTAAGATATTGGTCTCCGAGAGCCACGATGTAGAATTCTACCTATGTAGTTCAGATATAGGTCTCCAAGAGCCACGATGTAGAATCATACCTATGTAGTTCAGATATAGGTCTCCGAGAGCCACGATGTAGAATCATACCTATGTAGTTCAAATATTGGTCTCCGAGAGCCACGATGTAGAATCATACCTATGTAGTTCAGATATAGGTCTCCGAGAGCCATGATGTAGAATCATACCTATGTAGTTCAGATATTGGTCTCCGAGAGCCACGATGTAGAATCATACCTATGTAGTTAAGATATTGGTCTCCGAGAGCCACGATGTAGAATCATACCTATGTAGTTCAGATATAGGTCTCCGAGAGCCATGATGTAGAATCATACCAATGTAGTTCAGATATAGGTCTCCGAGAGTCACCATTGTTGGCAGCAAAGGCTATATCAGAGGATCAAAGAAACCTACCACATAATATAAAGACATGTACAAACAAGAAGATAATGACCCAGCTCAATATTACCAGTGTCAACAGAACAAAAGAACAGCAAAGCTACATCAGAGGAACAAAGAAACCTACCCATACTCCTTTTTCTCCAGATCTATTATGGAATGGAACAAACTCTTACAATTAAGAAGTATTAACATCAGCCAACCTAGATCAGTTTAAGCTCATCACCATTGTTTGGCTGCTTAATATCTGATAATATCTGACAACCTACCACCATTACAGTTCGTAGTTTGAAAATTTGTCCATTTGGGAAGCCCATTGTTTTATTTATCATGGGTCAATTTACAATCCAGTACCAAGAAATTGACTCAAAACCTAAAATTAGCAGATATGTCCCAGTATCTGTTGAAGTTTACTCGGACTAATAATCCTTTTGGGTTTGCCTATCAGAAATATTGTTTTTTTTTTTGTTTCTGTCACAGTCAATAACAACAGAGACTACCAGTAAATCGAATCTTGGATAGATTGTTTGAGAACCCTACCACTAGCCTCCATTAAAACAAATTAAACCTTGGTGAATTATGGTACAAGGTCAAGGTCATAGTAATAACGTTAAACTTTGTATACTTGAGAGGTCAGCAAGGGGCCCACAATCTACTTAAACCAACATGGACATCAAGCAGAATACACGGACAATGAACCTCTCAACTCAAATAGCAACCTTGACCAGCACATCCATTTCCAACCAGGGCAACTGATTTTCTGGAATATGTTGATTACCACAGAGTTTGCCATCACCCAAATGTATATATATTTTCAGGCATGTCAGACAATCAGAAGCTGTCAATGTGTTACAAAGATGACCTAGCTGGTCAGGAAATCTTCTGTAATAATGTAACAAATAAATAAGATAAGGTAAAACCTATGATTCAAGCTTGCATTAATACAATAGAATGAAGGGCTCTAGAATTCTGCCCTTTCTATAGCATTATTGTATAATACTAGTGTTTGCCTAACAACAAAATCCTTATACATGTGAATGATGTAATGGTGTTGTAACCTCATCTAGGACATTATTATCAACATCAATAATTTGGTTAAACTATTTCATGAATTAAATTACTAAAGTGGATTTGTTACGTCAGAGTCAGAGGTGAAATTATTAAGAATACATGACCAACATATTGTATGAGTTAGACCGTGCTCAAGTGGTTTGGCCATGTTTGGTTACAGTTCCATGGTTCAAGGCAATGAAAGTCACATTACTACAGAACGCTCAGGACCCTAAATACACTACTGTTCTGTGCTGTCATTAATTGTGACTTTGGGTCAAGATTCTATACCTAAATTGCCTTGAATGAAATGCAACTGGACTCCTGTATGTTGTTCAGTGAGGTAGCCACCAGCTACAAGGACACTAATAGGTCACAGCTGCCTCAAAATGAAGCTGGCTGTTTACATAGTATTAGACACGACAACAAAATTTCTGATAATTACTGGTAGATTCATTAAGTAATTGGTAGAAGTAAATCAGATCACTTTTCACATGTCTGGACAATCTTGTAAAGAAGAAATAAATATTCACCTTGGGAATAGTTAAAACAACAAAAACAAAAGTGTTGTAATATGAACTTGAAGATCTCACTGATCCTAGTGCTCTCTAAATAGTCGAGGTGAGCCCCAAATGATTTTATTACAATGAAGAGACAAAATTGTCAGTAAGGCTTTTGCAGATTTATCTTTGGTCCTAACCTTACACAGCACCTTGACATAATAAGTATTGTTAAATATATCCTTTGTAATACTGTCAACAGTGTTTAAAGAACCAACATACGATGAAGAATGAATTTGTCAGAATGTGATCATATCAGCCCTCATTTGACCTGACTGTTGTCATGATGTTAAAGCCGTAAAAGATCAGGATTATGCTTGGCTTTTCACTGTTTGTAACACATACCAACTCTGTCAGCTGGAAAATTAGTTCACTGTGTTTATATTTCATACAACAGACAATATAAAAAAATTCTGTATTTTCTAAGCTTAACACAAAGATATTAAAACCTCCACAAAACACAAGTTCATTAGTACCACATATAAGTGTTGAAGTCAGAATGTAGACATGAAGAATTACTGATAAATCATCAGTGAGTACCGACTGAAATGAAAAAAAAAATACAAATCAAATTATCACAATACAAAAATTTATTTTTACAATAAGATTTGTTATCGGACAAAAATGAAGACGGGATAAAAATTAAACATGCAGATGTTGATCATTCTACTTGGTGGTTGCACTATATTCCCACTCCCTTCCCTATGTTCCCACTCGTCCTGATAAAACTCATAAATATACAACAAATATACCAGTAAATGTTTACCTACACTACAAACCGTCTTTTTGCAAGAAAACAAAACATTATACAGTCTCAAGCCTACAGACAGGTGTAGCTGGTACCATGAGAAGTTCTAGATTTGCAATTACATACATATCTTGTAATAAAATACCATTCATACATCAATCGTTTACAATAACTTTCATGTAAATATCGTCTAACACTACAATACTCATCACTTTCCCCATAATATAAAATCTGCAACACTAACCACAAGTGTTGATAATTAAGTTTGTCAGAACCTACAGTCGTATGGATGCAACAAACTACAGTACATGAAGTTTAGGAATAATTCATGAGTACGTCATTGTTTTAAAATAACACATCCAATGCTAGTTCCATAAACTGAGAATTTTATGCATATTCTCCATGTGTCAGATCACAATTCCTATTGTTTGTAATCACAATCATAGTCTGTAAATGAATTTGTTTGTAATTAACACAGGATTACCTGTTATTTATCAACAGTGAATAACCATAACTGTCTGTAATTTACAACACAATGCAATGAATTGAATCACTCCTTTTGTCTGTGATACTGATACACACATCTAACTAATGATGTTCTATAGGAAAATCACATCCTATTATTATGCCTGTGTCACTCTCTTTGTGGGCGGTGTCCATTTAAGACAAGAGGAGTCTACAGCTCGTAGGTCATTCAGGTGTTTGGATTTCTTCTCTAAAAACTCTTCCATGAGGTCCTGTAAGAAAGAGACACAGTGCACTACCATAGATGAAACAAGGTTATAAAGCATTGTAGATCTGAAGAGTATATACACAAACAAAATGAAAACAATTTTGAAATCCTTTTCATGATACAAAATGTAATTTAACTTTTATTCTCAAGTAGATGCCTTATTTTGATGATGACAAAATTATTGTGATAAGTGATTAAAGATCTTGTTCCAAATTACAAAATATCAACTTTCCCATTAAGGTTTTCATAAAGACAAATGTTACATATGCTAGCCTCAAGTTTCATTAAAGATCACAAACTGACATGAGTATTTTCCTTCTGCAAACATGATTTACTGATAAATTGAGATAATGAGAAAACACTGAAAAAATGCCAAGTTGCTCTGATTCCTTACCTGTCTTTTAAGGACCAAGTGCTTTCCTTTCCAATACTTCAGCATGCCAAGAGCTTGTAATGTACTGACGATATCATTGGCATTAATCCCCGTTTCCTGACTAACATCTAAAGAAAGTATTAAAAGCTATAAATAGCACATACTGTGGGATATAGCAGTCCTGTTTTTCTAATCAGTCCCAATATCAAAATAGCACAATGAGGAACTAAGGGAAACTTACTTATGAAATATGACATCTAGTACTTCCAAAGGAATAGTGATAAACAAAACTTCATAGACAAAATCAAAGATGGCCACCTGTCAGCCATGTTGTTTGATCAATTCCAAAATTGGCAGTGTACATCTAGGCACAAAGGGATAACTGACATGTTAAAAATATTTAAGAAAGATCCATCCTTTGCTTGAGCAGAAATAGTGATAACAAACTATGACTATCAAAAATCAAGAAAGCTGCCAGTCGGCCATTTTGTTTTTTCATGCAGTCCTAAAATTGACTTTGCACAATAAGGGATCAAGAGGAACCTACATGAAAAAAGTGACAACAAACTAAAACTTTGAAATCTAAGAAAGCCTCCTATTGGCCATTTTGTGTTTCTGATCAGTCCCTAAATGGACTAAGAACAAAGAGAAATGTACAGATAAAATTTTAAAATGATCCATTCAGTGCTTCTCAAGAATTAGCAATAACAAAAGTGTGTAAGGATGGTCAGATACTGGGAAATTAGAATAGCCACTACTTTATGATGGATAGTGGGATAAAAAGGAGCTTGATAGAGATAACATCTTTAAATGAATAAGTTATGGACTAAATCTATTGCACAAAAAACAAGTATTGGTTTGAATTCAACTGCTGATAAATAATACTTTAAAGCAATTACTTTCTATAAGAAACATATAAAGTATTAATGTCTGACAAGTAAAGAGGTCTTTAATGTAAATAATTACACAATGGTCCTGTATCAATCTGACTGAAGATGACACATTAAAAGGATACTTTGATTATTGATAAAAGGTCTTAAATTATTGAGATATCACAAATAATGTTTGCTTACCTTTGATGCAGATTTCAGCACCTTTGTATTTGTGGAGATAGTTTAGTAAGGTGTCTTTCCAGTAGCTTCTATAACTGATGAGTCCAAGGTCAGACAGAGGTCGCTCTGGTGATCCAATCTTGTTCTCATTCCGACTCAACAAGTAACCTGGCAACAATCATTCAATACAAACCATACTATCAAAGTTTCTATACTTTCAATACAATTTTTTTCATTGAAATTAGTGCAGTGTGACTTCTAAACATTACACATCGACTGGTGAGCACTAAAATCTAATATTTGAGAAAGAATGTAAGTGATCTCAGATCATTGGCAATTGCGATATACACCTTTCCTGATATAATGCAATTGTCTGAAAAAAGTAAAATATTTTGTAATCTATCAAGTGTTTGCTTTTTCTATAGAAAATGTCCACAAGGGTGATTTTAGAGAATGAAAAGCCAAAATTGTCATATACTTAAAACACCTACAAAAATGCTTTAAATCAACAACACATCATTTTTTAAAAATGTTTCCATGGTCTGGGATTCAAATGTAAACAGTGACATGTTTTAAAGACTCTCAGTTCAAGCAAAACATTATGTCTATATTGAACATTTCAGATGATACTTAACACCACTACTTACTGAAGTCAATCAGCATCTTGCCATAACCTTGTCTCATGTATTGGGGCAGAGTAAGGATACATGAAACATTGTAATTAAGGAACGAATTCTTCTCCTGAAATTGAAAACAATTGAAATCAAATGACTATGAGATTTCAAGTTGTCCAAATCAATTTATTACCTAGTGACTACTACCAAGTGACCTGGAGACTTGGACATGTCCAAATCAATTTATTACCTAGTGACTACTACCAAGTGACCTGGAGACTTCAACCTGTCCAAATCAATTTATTACCTAGTGACTACTTCCAAGTGACCTGGAGACTTGGACATGTCCAAATCAATTATCACCATGCATCTAGGAAACTTCTAAATGCTGAAATCAATTTCTTACCACCAAAAATGATTCTGAAACTTCTACATATCAAAATTAATTTATCACCAAGTGACTCTGAAACTAATTTACTACCAAGTGACCTAGAGAGTTCTACATATCAAAATTAATTCATCACCAAGGGACTTGGAAACTAATGTATAACCAAGTGACTTAGAGAGTTTTACATGTCAAAATCAATTCATTTACCTGCCAAATCCAAAATGGCTGCCTGGAAGCCATTGTGTTTCTTCTGATCAGTACCAAAATCAAACAAGCACAAGGAGAGATAAAAGGGAAGGTATGAATGAAATTTGAGATATCTATTTAGTACTTCTTAAGAAATAGTATTAACAAAATTTCAAGTCAAAATCTAAGATGTCCGTCTGTTGGCCATTTTGTTTCTCTGATCAGTTCCTAAATCAGATTTCCACAAGGGACCAAGAGGAACCTACATATCAAATTTAAGAAAATTCTATTGAGCACTTCTCAACAAATAGCGATAACAAACTTGCAAAGTCAAATCCAAGATGGCATCTGATGATGATGGGCTAAAAGAACCACCAGGGTAAATAACAGATTTGGTCTTGGAATTGAGTGCAGCTGCCTACTGGAATACTGTAACTTACTTATAATCATGACAAACTAGATTTGCATTTTTCTAAAATCGCGAAAATGTTTTGCCTATTTAGGTAATAGCATTTTCCCTAATTATATTTCTGGAACCATCAATTTTAGCTTTTAAAGTTAAAAATTTTTTTTTGTAGATTCAATGCTTTCCTAAACTCTACAAAAATAAGTAGAACACAACATAAGTAGATTTTCAATATTCTTAATGGTCTCTTACCTTGGAGAAGTAGCCCACTATGTGACAGCCATGTGTATCATTCTCTGTCATCACATAGAAGAGGAAAGGCTCTACATCAAAGTACAGCGTCTTGTGATCCAGAAATAGCTTGGCCAGCAAACAAAGATTCTGACAATACACCTGTAACAAAGTACCGTCAGATTTGTCAATATAACTACAACAACTACAACCAAGGAAATTGTATAGCTAGTGTATCAATACAAAATTTTAAATTTCAGTCCACAATATTTTTCCTTAAATGAATATAGTTCCTTGTTAATCCAGGCATCCTAGCAGGATATTTTTTGCTTTAGTCAATTTAAGACAGAAGCCAGAAGATGAAAATACCCAGCAAAAATATCTTGCATGGTTTGTTTTGTTTTGATACTAACAGTTATCATACAGTTTTGGTACAACAAACCTTGTTACGTTTTCCATCCACCTCGAAGACCGAGATGCTGTTTTTCCTGTAAATCTCGTCTCCAGGTGGGTGACGCCACACACACTTAGCCTATAGTACAGGGAAACAAATTGAAGTTTGTTATTGCTTAACATTTTTAGGTTAGTTGTTATATATTAAATTAGACCAACAAATATATTCTTTATGACCAACATCATGAAAATACTTCATAAAACCTTTTTAGTAAGTGTCCTCAGGTTTTATTGCACTACACATTAAAAACCATTATCAATTCATTCTTCATCAAAATGTTACACTATAAACAAATCTTGAATTCAGTGTTATCTTCTGAAGCTTTTATCAAACTGGTTCCTTAGGCTTTACATGTTTTGATGAAGAGTGGTTATATCTTAATGCTGAAATTTAAGTTAGGAAATTACATTACCATGTGACGACGAAGGATAGTGGCAGTCTTCATGTATTTGAGACAGAATTCACAAAGATATATTTTTGGCAAGCGAGCATACTCTTCAGGGTAGGGACTGGAATACCATGTGGTCATCTCAAATCGTCCTATCTCCAGCTTTTTAATTCTATACTCCTGCAGGTCACTTCGTGTGTAGTGCTGTGTGATCTCATGCTCCTGTTACAAGTCAAAGTTTATAGTATAACTACAGGCTATTCAATTGAAACATTTCCCAAGTTTTGTTCAGGGGTACCACCTTCAGAACTAAACTGATCATTTTCTAACCAGTAATAAGCAGGAAACCAAACCATTGAAAGAAGGACTTATTTTGGAGACCTGGGGTCAACTTTTTCCATTTTTCTTCTTGTATCTAATTGAATTTGTGAAATCAAAATGGTAAACTTAAGTGACACTAACTTTACCACTACTGTAATACTTCAATTTCTGATTTTTACTTTCCCAATTAGCTTTCAATTCAAATTTTCAAAAGAAGTGTCCATTTTAGTACAAACACCCAGTGTCAAACTGAAGTCCTGACAGCTGTCACCCTGGGTGCAATAATCAAGAGACCTGGATGCTGGCTCCTTTGATCAAAAACCAAACTATAACAGCCTGTTGATTTGTAAAACATCACTCAAATTATTTTTTTTGTCAAATTGCATGTCATAATATGCAACCTTGTACTGGCAGAAACTTAACTGTTTTTTTAACAAGTTTTTGATAATTCTTACCAGCACTTCACATGCACGAGCCTGTGCTTCCCGAAAGAGTTTCAGGTCGTAGTTTGAAGCAAGACCATTGAGTAGTGGTTCCCGTCCCTTCTCATATTTCTCCCTATGATTCCGATGCTTTTTCTTATCTTCCTCTGTCACCTCAGGCAAATTCTTTCTCAACTTTCTTACATTCTCTGACTTTTCTTTCTGGTCATCTGACTGTATCTGAGTCAATCACAAAATCGTACATGTATAACTAGGTCATGTCATAATAACTAGGTCATGTCATAATAATAAAAGACTATCAAACATCTGACTGTACCTGGGTCAATCACAAAATGTTTAACTACGTCATGTCATAATAACTAGGTCATGTCATAATAATTAAAGACTATCAAACATCTGACTGTACCTGAGTGAATCACAAAATGTTTAACTAGGTCATGTCATAATAATCAAAGACTAACAAACTTAAACAAACATATTTTAATCATATATACTTGCTGCCTATTTACCTGCCTTCATTTATCCAACATTTAAAATTACAACAATGCAAGTTACAACTTTGATATTTACCTGTTTACGTAGATCTCGTTTGTCGTGTAGTGTAGCAACAACTTTTTCCCTCTCTGTTTGTTCCTTGTGTCTATCTTCTAACCTTCTCTGTTAAAAATAAATTTCATAGTACTGCTTTATTCAATTGATTTCTGACAAAATAACTTTGCAAGATAATAGTCTCTATATCTATCACCATCAGTGTTTATGGTTCTGTTTGCTGGTGATCCCCAGAAGTACCAGTACTCAAAGGCAAATTCTTTTAAGACACTTGACGAGTCAAAAGACTGATGTCAAACATTGTTATCACCAGACTATCAAAAGTATCAGAGACAGTATTCTGTTTGTTATAATGGCTGGTGAAAAAAAAAATATTTGTGAAGCTGTCAACTTATATCAAATACATACCGGTATATCTTGAGTCTTGATTCTAGACTGTGATATTCACAGCATCATCTCATAATACACACATGCAGCATGAGTATAAACTAACAATTCCCAGAGTGATGACAGCACAGTCCAATCCTCTCCAATGCAGGTTTTATTCGCAGAGTAGGTTGTTTACACTCTTGGAATTTCATTTTTATGATTTTTAGTAACCCTGTATACTAATAATATCCCTGGCCTTACCTGGACGTATTTCACTGATCTTCACTGACAGAGGGACATTGTGCCTCCCTCCCCTGCTTTAATCAATATGCAGTACTCAAGAAGTTTGAAAAAAAATTCCTATTGACCAACCCTAGTTTTTTTTTTTTCAAGCAGAAACCATAAATATAGGTATAATTTTTGGCCTAATATGAAGATGTAGATCTTTAGTGGGACAAAAATATTGTACAACTGTTACTACCTTGCAGTCTTCAGCAGATGTGTTGTGATATAAGGGGCAGGAAGCAAGCGTTCTGTGACGGTCATGTCTGCCTGTCAAGTGTCCTGAAGTGAAAACATCAAATTCATCTCAAAAAGACCCAGAACCATACATTGGATGTAGGAATATCATTTTTATTTCATGCCTAGCAATGGGATACTCACAGCAGATATGACTTAAAGAAAATGTGAAGTCAAATATTGATTCTCTGACCATGTACTTTTTGCTACACATGTCCTATCTCCCACATGAGTTACTTTAAATTCACTTTAAGCTTGGTTAATGTTACTACAATCTGATTTTGTAAATATAGCCATTGATCTTATGGATGTTTTCCATAAATGCTTATATCCATGAAACTAGCATAAATGACTTTGCATGATGCCTTTGTCCTGGACTAATACATCAGACTTATCATTGTACAGAAGCGATCTACAGTATTTATTGAGATTTTTATGACAATTGAAATGCCAGACACTTTACACAGATGGAGTATTATTGCAGGAGGCAAAATTCAAGTTTTAAGTATTGGGCTAGTAAAAAGAACATCAGACTAGTCACTCCTGTTCTATTCATTTTTTTCCTTTAAAAAACACAATTAAAAGAAACTTTAATGGTTTTCTGTTTAATATGGAAACCATTAAATATCCTTTATTTATCTGAATTCAACACTTACCTTTAGAATCACAGCCTGGGAGTGGACACTTTGCGTTACTTTCATTGTAATCCATTGAAGGGGTTGGTCGTTTTTCTGTCCAAATGGACATAAACCCATTTTCTGCTGTTGTTTCAACAGTCTTTCTTTTAGATACAGTTTTTTCATTCAGTTTTGCCTGACTGGCATTCTTAGCTTTGGCAGACTGTTGTTTACCCTTCCCTTGTGATGATGGTGTTTTGTCTTTTGAACCAGACTTGTTTGTTGGTTGTTTATTGTCTATACTCTTGCGTAAGGTTTTATTTTGTGTAACATTTGATGTTTCTTTCTCACATTCTGATGCAGATTCTGATGTCCTCGTTTCTATTTTTCTTCTTTTCCTTGCAGGCGAGGATATACCAATGGAAGAAACAAGACCTTAAATAATAAAATAAAAATATGTTATAGACATCAGACTTGAGTATTATGGAATATTGGAATATTCAACAAAAACTTCAGAAAACAGGAAGTGATGTTTTTATTGTTTCCTTCCCCCACCCCAAAAATATCATTTTTTTTAAAATATGCATTATGTTCTGACAGTTTTTACAGCTATCACTCACATCGTTATTGAGAATCAATGATATGTATTTGGTAATGACAATGTGATTCTTATAAATCAAACAGCAATACATATAACAAATTAAACAAGAGGCCCATGGGCCTTAACGGTCATCTGACAAAAAGCAAGCCAAACCTAGAAAGTGGTTGAGGTCATTCATTTGAACAAACTTGGAAGCCTCTCCTCCAAGCATCTTACAGGCCCAATATCAGCACTCATGGACTTTTGCTTGTTGAGAAGAAGTCGTTTGTATATTTTAACATATTTGACCCCTGTGACCTTGAAAGTGGGTTGAGGTCATTCATTTGAATAAACTTGGTAGCCTTTCCTCCCAGCATGCTACAGACCCAATATCGGCACTCATAGACTTTTGCTTATTGAGATGAAGTCCTTTGTATATTTTAACATATTTGACCCCTGTGACCTTGAAAGTGGGCCAAGGTCATTCATTTGAACAAACTTTGTAGGGCTCCATGCCAGCATGCTATGGGCCAAGTATTAGCCCCCTAGGCCTTCTAGTATTTGAGAAGAAGTTATTTAAAGATTTTGACATATTTGACCCCTGTGACCTTGAAAGTTGTTCAAGGTCATTCATTTAAACAAACTTGATAGCCCTTCATCCCAGCATGCCACAGGCACAATATCAGCAATCTGAGCCTTTTGGTTATTGAGAAGAAGTTGTTTAAAGATTTTAACATATTTGACCCCTGTGACCTTTAAAGTGGGCCAAGGTCATTCATTTGAACAAACTTTGTAGGGCTCCATGCCAGCATGCTATGGGCCAAGTATTAACCCCCTAGGCCTTCTAGTATTTGAGAAGAAGTTATTTAAAGATTTTGACATATTTGACCCCTGCGACCTTGAAAGTTGTTCAAGGTCATTCATTTAAATAAGCTTGGTAGCCTTTCCTCCCAGCATGCTACAGACCCAATATCGGCACTCATAGACTTTTGCTTATTGAGATGAAGTCCTTTGTATATTTTAACATATTTGACCCCTGTGACCTTGAAAGTGGGCCAAGGTCATTCATTTGAACAAACTTTGTAGGGCTCCATGCCAGCATGCTATGGGCCAAGTATTAGCCCCCTAGGCATTCTAGTATTTGAGAAGAAGTTATTTAAATATTTTGACATATTTGACCCCTGTGACCTTGAAAGTTGTTCAAGGTCATTCATTTAAACAAACTTGATAGCCCTTCATCCCAGCATGCCACAGGCACAATATCAGCAATCTGAGCCTTTTGGTTATTGAGAAGAAGTTGTTTAAAGATTTTAACATATTTGACCCCTGTGACCTTTAAAGTGGGTCAAGGTCATTCATTTGAACAAACTTGGTAGTCCTTCATCCCAGCATGTCACAGGCCCAATATCTACACTCTGAGCCTTTTGGTTAATGAGAAGAAGTTGTTTAAAGATTTTAACATATTTGACCCCTGTGACCTTTAAAGCGGGTCAAGGTCATTCATTTGAACAAACTTGGTAGAGCTCCATGCCAGTATCCTCTGTGCCAAGTATTAGCCCCCTAGACCTTCTAGTATTTGAGAAGAAGTCGTTTGAATGAAAAGTTTACGGACGGCGCACGGCGCACGACGACGGACAAAGCATGATGACTATAGGTCATCGGACCCTTCGGGTCAGATGACCTAATAAAATTTGACTTTGAATTAGAAGTGTAGAAATGTAGTCATCTTCCTTGATACACCTGGTGTTATGCTCACTATTGCTCTCTGCACCCCTGGAACATGGCAGAACTGAAGGTTTCATGTGTGGCAATTTGTGGACAAGATAACAAATTGGATGTTGCTTCTTTGTTATCTTTGCAGGAGTGCATCAGTCAGTGATTGGTCACATTTTTTTCTTCTGGGATCCATTTTAGACCAATCAAATTACTTCACTTGTGCCTTCAATTTTGCGATGGCTTGCTTGAGAGGTGCAGGGAGCAATGGTAAGAATATAACCCCTGGAGTATCAAGGATGTGTAGTCTTATAACAAGAAAATTGCATAACTGTTCGGTATGAGTCTGTCCCATGGAAAAATATAGAAATATTACGAGATGAAAAAATCACACTAAGTTTCAAAGAGAGGAAAAACAAAGCAATGACAAGATAACCTTTCACAAATAAGCATATTCAAATTCACTTATTATGATCTTAAAAAATTGTTTCTTTCAAAAAGATTTCAGTGGTCAGTGAGGTGTTTAAAAGCAAGCAACTAATGAAAAGGGAGGTAACTCTTTTAAAATAAAAAAGGAAAGTATAGACAAAATTATGCAACATTTCATCATTATTATAATTCAAGGGTTAGACCTACAGATCAAGTATCATTATACTACCTGCTGCCGAGCGTCTAGTAACTCTTGGTGCAATGGTTTCTGAATGTGAGCTATCGCCATCACTTTCTGCTGAAGTTTGGTCATGCTCATGGTCACTTTCCTCAGAAGACACAGCTTCCCTAGGCCGCTGTAAGGCAAGGTAAGAAACCAGTAGTGATTTGACAAAAAAAGTTGTTATCAGTAGATCCTATATAGATTGACTTCAATAAGTCAACAGTTTTTTTTCTTTTAAAGGACTGAAAATATCCCACTGATGAGAAATAACTTTTTCTTGAATCTTCTGAAAAGTATTGTACTTGATAATTCTACAGCCAGTATAGAAGTCACATACTGTTTTCAACATGTCACATGGAATTTATGCTTACATGGTGGTGCTAACCAGAATTTCATTTCAGATGATTCTGATGAAAGAAGTCTCAGAATTTTTAAAAACCACTGGTGTGGTAAAATGAACATGAAGTGAGTTTCATAAATCTCATATAAAATGGATATGATTCTCAGATTTTGTTCATCACATACCTTTAACATTTTTTTTATTAAACAGCATTTTATTATATTACCTTTGCTATCCTTCAATTAAATCTTTAAGGAAATTAGCAAAGAAAACTCCAATGAAATTTTTTTTTTTTGCAATATTTTAAGAAATCACAGATTTTTAAAGACTTAATATACTAAGGTGTAGTTGTTATAAACTGCATGCTTGATTCTTTGGAAAACTACATTTTACAGCAAACTGTATTCATTCTTTATCACTGTTGTCAATGCAAATTACTTAAGACTTGCCAATCTATCTTGTTTCAGCATTTGTTATGCAGTATACTGTACTATATATATTAAAACATTATAATTAGAGAGATTTATTGAACATAATGGGTTTTAAAACCTGGAAATTCGGGATGGACTATGAAAATTGAAATTGCATCTAGACATTACTTGGGGTTCAATTTCTAGTTATGTTTTACCATTATGTCTCTTTAGATTGTAACAAAGCATGAAATTACAGGCAATATAAATAGTTTTTGTGACAGATGTTCATGGGAAATCTTGAGGAAACATTAAAAATTCAGGTGTCAACTGAAATACAGATATTCTTTTTCAGAAATTACAGTAGTGTGACATTTTAAGAATTTGAATTGTGGTAAATAACACATGTGCTATGGGTTAGAAATTATTAACATATGTATTACATAGCATCTATCGTTATGCAATAGCCTCTATTAACATTCAAAATTAATGTAAATAGCATTAGAGGCTATGTAGTTTACATAAAAGCAATATCTAACTCTAACTTCAAGCACCTGTGGCAAATAACTGTTTATGAGGATGTTCCAACTGTTTCTTATTGAGCAAACCGCGAAAATGCTTCGGTACTTTGATCAAACATACAACAATATCAAATGAACCACCTTTCAGAAATGCGGGTTCTCTTTCTCGAAGTTAAATTCTCATATTCGAACATTAATCAAGGCATACAACGATGTCAACAATAATAACCCCGATCTGCAAATTTAACGTTCATTTTGAACAAAATAGACGGCTATCGAACACTTTTAAGCGGGTTTTTTACGAACTTTTCGCCTAGGCATTCTGAGTGAAAGTTCTTCCCGTTGTCGCAGATGATTGGTCAGGGATCATGGATGCATAACTGCTTTGTAATCGTCAAAAACTACGGTTGTTTTCTTCGGTTTTCATTCATTTTCGCCAAGATTCTTTTCGCGCCGATCTTGTTCCGGTAACACCGCCACCTGTTGGAAAAACATCTGCATCTATTTCCTACAAGGGAAGTAACTCGTTGTGACTGTCTCTCGTGGTAGCACAACACTAACACATTATACCAGGGACCTAAATAGAATCAGCAATGACTTTTCTCATGTTACTTTTTGTGGTCACCCATTATTTCAGTTAGTATCTAGACTTATATATCTAACTATACCCAACTCAAATTTCTCCTACTTGACATAGCACGACGGGGACCATAGAGAGGAAAATTTGGGAAGAGGCTAAACGAAAAAGGCTGTCACAATCATCGGGAGAATTTACTGTCAAAAAGTACGCCCCACCCCTTGTGCCAGAAAAGTGTACACTAACGCAGACCAATTAAAAAACAAGATATCTGAATTAACTCTAAGAGTGAACAATATGAATCCAGATATTATTGGAATTACAGAAGTAAAGTAAAATACAAGATCTCTAAATATGAAGCCCAGGAATTCTCTATCGAGGTAAACAATAGCTATACTATGTTCCATAAGAACATTAATAATGATATTGGACGAGGTATAATACTCTACATAAACAAGCTGCTTCCATCCATAGAGGTGGAAATAGAAACATTGTTCCGGGAAAATATATTATAGAGATCTCTTTAAATAAACACGGAAAGGATTCTTATTGGATTGATATACAGATCCGACAGTGGAACAGATGATAACAATAGAAACTTGATAAGATTAATCAATGATGTATCAAGGAAAAACTATACTCACTCAGTAATTATGGGGGACTTCAATTATCCGAATATCAACTGGGAAGCGTGGAATTCAAAAAGAGGTAGTATCGAAACACAAAAATATAGATTCCTCGACTGCTTACAAGACAATTTCTTACGGCAAAAAAATCAACAAACCTACACGACGGAGAATAAACGACACACCCCATGTATTAGATCGTCTAATAACTAACAAGGAAAGCACCGTTACATTAATAGAGTACCAGAGTCCTCTGGGGAAGAGTGACCGCAGTGTTATTCTTCTGGGGAAGAGTGACCGCAGTGTCATTCTTCCGGGGAAGAGTGACCGCAGTGTTATTCTTCTGGGGAAGAGTGACCGCAGTGTCATTCTTCCGGGGAAGAGTGACCGCAGTGTCATTCTTCCGGGGAATAGTGACCGCAGTGTCATTCTTCCGGGGAAGAGTGACCGCAGTGTTATTCTTCTGAGCATAGTCTGTAATACAAGGGTAACATGTAGAAACATATCTAAGAAATGTTACAAAAAAAGCAAACTACGAGCAAATTAACAACGAAATCATAGAGACCAACTGGAAAGATTAATTAAATGAAGAAAGGGACGTTCATGAAAACTGGCAATTTTTTAAAAACAGAATTCAGGACTTAATTAATATCTTTGTACCATCTAGAATTATTAAAACTAGCAAAAACAACAAACATCAATATCTAATAGATGAGGACACACTAGAAAAAATAAGGAAGAAACATGCACTCTCCAAAAAAGTAGCAGAAACATCTGATCCAGAAGTATAGAGAGAATATAGCAGAGTAAGGAACCAAGTTAAGTCAAAGACAAGAAAACTACGTAAGGAATTTGAACAATCTATTTCTGTACAAGCCAAATGTAACCCCAAGCTGATATGGGAAATATATTAAAGATGAAATAACAGAATTTTACGAAAATCCACTGGACAACAAGTCTCAAATAGTGGCATCAGATAAAGAAAAAGCCGACATTCTTGCAAACTTCTTTCAAAGCGTATTTGTTAAAGAAGAAAAAGGGAGAAATACCTTAATCAAAGCACATTAAAACAAGCAGCAATATGAAAACACTTGTGATAACCAATGAAATGGTTACCAAGATACTCCAAAACTTTATCACAAATAAATCATTGCTATCTATTTAAAGATTAAATGCTCTGGACATTTTGAACTTAACGTGGTAAAGTGATAATTCCAAAGTGTAGTTGGTAATTTATTGAGTATATGTGTTACATACGCCTCTGCTATAATATAGCTTAATATAGCTTTTGTGTGTTTGTTGATTTCTGTGTACTGATTTTGATAGTGGGTGATGATTTCATGTGTTTGTTGATTTCTGTGTACGAATTTTGATAGTGGATGATTATTTCGTGTTTGTTGATTTCTGTGTACTGGTTTTGATAGTGGATGATGATTCGTGTGTTTGTTGATTTCTGTGTACTGATTTTGATAGTGGATGATGATTGTGTGTGTCTGTTGATTTCTGTGTACTAATTTTGATAGTGGGTGATGATTTCGTGTGTTTGTTGATTTCTGTGTACTGATTTTGATAATGGGTGATGATTCGTGTGTTTGTTGATTTCTGTGTACTGATTTTGATAATGGATGATGATTCGTGTGTGTTTGTTGATTTCTGTGTACTGATTTTGATAATGGATGATGATTCGTGTGTGTTTGTTAATTTCTGTGTACTGATTTTGATAGTGGATGATGATTGTGTGTGTCTGTTAATTTCTGTGTACTAATTTTGATAGTGGATGATGATTGTGTGTGTCTGTTAATTTCTGTGTACTAATTTTGATAGTGGGTGATGATTTCGTGTGTTTGTTGATTTCTGTGTACTGATTTTGATAGTGGATGATGATTGTGTGTGTCTGTTAATTTCTGTGTACTAATTTTGATAGTGGATGATGATTGTGTGTGTCTGTTAATTTCTGTGTACTAATTTTGATAGTGGATGATGATTTCGTGTGTTTGTTGATTTCTGTGTACTGATTTTGATAGTGGATGATGATTTTGTGTGTGTTTGTTGATTTCTGTGTACTGATTTTGATAGTGGATGATGATTTTGTGTGTGTTTGTTGATTTCTGTGTACTGATTTTGATAATGGATGATGATTTTGTGTGTGTTTGTTGATTTCTGTGTACTGATTTTGATAATGGATGATGATTCGTGTGTTTGTTGATTTCTGTGTACTGATTTTGATAATGGGTGATGATTTCGTGTGTTTGTTGATTTCTGTGTACTGATTTTGATAATGGATGATGATTCGTGTGTTTGTTGATTTCTGTGTACTGATTTTGATAATGGATGATGATTCGTGTGTTTGTTGATTTCTGTGTACTGATTTTGATAATGGGTGATGATTTCGTGTGTTTGTTGATTTCTGTGTACTGATTTTGATAGTGGATGATGATTTTGTGTGTTTGTTGATTTCTGTGTACTGATTTTGATAGTGGATGATGATTTTGTGTGTTTGTTGATTTCTGTGTACTGATTTTGATAATGGGTGATGATTTCGTGTGTTTCTTGATTTCTGTGTACTGATTTTGATAATGGATGATGATTCGTGTGTTTGTTGATTTCTGTGTACTGATTTTGATAATGGATGATGATTCGTGTGTTTGTTGATTTCTGTGTACTGATTTTGATAGTGGATGATGATTTTGTGTGTTTGTTGATTTCTGTGTACTGATTTTGATAGTGGATGATGATTTTGTGTGTTTGTTGATTTCTGTGTACTGATTTTGATAATGGATGATGATTTCGTGTGTGTTTGTTGATTTCTGTGTACTGATTTTGATAGTGGATGATGATTTCGTGTGTTTGTTGATTTCTGTGTACTGATTTTGATAGTGGATGATGATTTCGTGTGTTTGTTGATTTCTGTGTACTGATTTTGATAGTGGATGATGATTTCGTGTGTTTGTTGATTTCTGTGTACTGATTTTGATAGTGGATGATGATTTTGTGTGTTTCTTGATTTCTGTGTACTGATTTTGATAGTGGATGATGATTTCGTGTGTTTGTTGATTTCTGTGTACTGATTTTGATAGTGGATGATGATTTTGTGTGTTTGTTGATTTCTGTGTACGAATTTTGATAGTGGATGATGATTTCGTGTGTTTGTTGATTTCTGTGTACTGATTTTGATAGTGGATGATGATTTTGTGTGTTTCTTGATTTCTGTGTACTGATTTTGATAGTGGATGATGATTTCGTGTGTTTGTTGATTTCTGTGTACTGATTTTGATAGTGGATGATGACTTTGTGTGTTTGTTGATTTCTGTGTTCTGATTTTGATAGTGGATGATGATTTTGTGTGTTTGTTGATTTCTGTGTACTGATTTTGATAGTGGATGATGATTTCGTGTGTTTGTTGATTTCTGTGTACTGATTTTGATAGTGGATGATGATTTCGTGTGTTTGTTGATTTCTGTGTACGAATTTTGATAGTGGATGATGACTTTGTGTGTTTGATGATTTCTGTACACTGATTTTGATATACAAGTATATATATATAATGTATTTAGGTAATATTGATTTCAGATATCAGTTCTTTCAAAGTGACCTTATACTAGGGGAAGTAACTCTTTCAGCCGTGTACGATGTTGTCTCCTAAAGAAAGCTCTATCGGTATATTTTTACTCAGTCGTTTATATACCTTATTCATCGAGCACAATTGATGGATTAATACTGTTTGTCCATCTTCATATGTTTTTAACCTTTTAGTTCATAGACGCCTGATGAATACATGACGATATAGGGGTTGCTAAGGACGCCATCTTAGATTTCCGTTGCTATGGAAATCCCAGATGGCAGACTCCTAAGCAATCCCGAAACCTCAGATAGCAGTACACAGTTTCTCGGTGTGGTCATGGGTGATAGATTTGCTCTTTAGATTCCCTATTATAAAGGTTTTGATTAAAATTTAAAAGATAAATCATTGCTAATTGGCCTTGTCATGTTGAAGTGGGCAATGTGGGGTTTTCATTTTCTTTTATTTCAGTCTTTTTTATTATTTTACTCAGTAATTTTCCTTTAACTTGTTGACGCCTTATCAGATTTCGAACGAAAATATCTGCAAGATAACGGTCTGCATCGAAACCTTTTCTAAGAATATCAGACATCGCCATCACTTTTTCTCTGTGTACCAAATAAAATGCACAGTGCTGACTACACTCTAGAGAGTTGAGTTGCTGTATTCGAATAGGGTTATATGTCCACG